CTTAATTAAAACGTTTATTCTTTCTCAATAAGACTTTATAATACACAGAATTTCCACAGCCACTCTAAACTTAACAACCTTTATAACACATGCTATAAATCACAGCGATTCACACAATTTACTTACAGTGCCTACTGTTCTCTTGATTCAATTATCTATCTGTCCGATCTATCTATCTCTGCAATCTATCTGTCTATCTCATTGGCTTTCTTTGCCAGGCTTATATACTAAAAAAGAGGGCATCTAGCAAAAACTTGGACATTTGCGGGGTTCCCCAATAATTCTAGAAACTCGAGCATGCATGCACCCAGCATCACGCGACTTCCGCTGTTGTAACAATACACATTAATAATAAAGTAGTTTAATTAAAGTTTGGTAACTCTGTAAAAGGTTGTGACATGTGCATTTTGACCTACCCAATATGAAACAGTTAAGGTGAATCATATCCAATCTCTCACGCATTTCTTAGATTTAATTAATGTCTGAGGAATTTTACTTCTCCATGCATTAGGTAACACTTATGGCCTGTTATACTCAACTCTTCCAAAATTAGATGTCATTCAAGTAAGTTTAATAAACTGTAATTTAAAAAATCCAAGGTAAACTTTCCTTTTTTATGGACAGGAGAAGAAAGGTTTTCTTTCTGAAAATACTTTTTCAAGTATCAAAAATTCAAGCAAATAAGATATGGTTCCCATTTCAGGCCCCTCACTCTACATTCCATTAACCATTCAACTGAATCCAGACCACCAGAAGTCCAAATAGAAGACAAAAATTTATCCTTCATGTTTGGGATTCACTTCTTACAAGTGCTACTAATTTGCTAAGTTCAATGTATAACCACATTCACTTTAATTGTTTATGAACATCATCATTATATGGGAGGGAAAAAAAACAGTATTTTATTGTACCTTCACAACTAAAAATATCTGAAAAATTAAGAAACATCATTACACATACTTGGAAGTCACATAAGATTTCTTTCATTACAAAAATATAAATTTTAAATAGTATGAGAAACGAAATCTTGCATGGTACCCAAGTAAGTTAATTTTTTCAAGTTTTTAACACTGAAAATTTGTTTTAGCAGTAATCATTTAAGCAATTAGAAGTATACTACTATCCAATGAATAATAAAAGAACATACAATTTTCTACTTAATTATGTGCTTAAATAGACTTGTGACTGATGATGTTTCAGTTCACACCAAAAATGATCGAAATATAATGTCCTACAATTACATTTTACTTATCAAAAAAGCCCTTTAAATACTTATTACAAATGCATTTTAAATGCCTTATTTATCACAAGCAAACTTACACAAAAATGTAATTAAAACATGAGCTGATAAATTACTAACTATGCTCCAAGTTTAGTAAATTCATTAATAATGTCTATTTTGAATGAAAAGTTTAGTCAATGGTTAGTTATCAACCATAATTTGTTTGCTTTTGTTCTACTTACAATAAACAACACTGCTTAATTACAATTTTCACCAACATTCTTAACAGGCTGACAGTAATGTTTGGAAGATGCTGGCAATGATGATGAAATATTTATCAGAAGAGAATTAATGTAATTTTATCAGCTTTGTGAAATTTTTTTTATATATATATTACATATATAAATCTACCATAAAAACTTTCAATAATCTATAACTATCAATACATTTATTTTAGATATATTTTAACCTATTTATAATAACTATTAACACCAAACATATGACAAGTGTTCTTACCCTTTGAGGTAAAGTTCTGTAATATGGGTAACTTTATTCATTCCGTATCCAAAAAACCGTTCATCATAAAGGGGATGTTTGTCGTTTTTTCTAAAATAATAAAATATTATTGAAAATAAACAAACTTTTAGATAAAATTTCACTTTATGTCTTCAGAGATAAGTGATTTTTTTTTACAATGGCAAAAGCAAAGCTCATAAACTTTTAGTTGTACAAAATGAGCCATATACTCTTCACAGCTAGAAATAACAATTCTGTCTGTCAAAAATACTTACAAATTGCTTACTATCTAGGAGATAAAAAAACAAGAACAAAAAAGTGTTTTCCAACTTTTCTCACAAACCTGATGTGGAATAAAAGTACTTTTATACTTTTTTTAGAGGATAAATACATATTTAGTACTTCTAATGTCTGCAAGCAATGGTAAATTACAGAATTATGAAAAAGAAAGGCATAAATTACATACATACCATAACATTTTTTACTTAATTTATTAAGTATGTATATTAGTCTTACATGAAACTAATATAAACTCAAATCTCTGTAATTGCAAGTTTGATTGGTTTAGCACTGGCCTACTATCATGGTGAGCCAAGTTCAATTTCTTAAATTTAGCCCTAAGTATAAAATACAGAAAATGTTCAAATTAAAAAGATGTAAAGAGAGTGAAAGTTCAGAATGATTAGTAAAATATTAGATAAGTATAAATCTAGAGCATTTCTGACAATCTTGAAGATAAAAATCAATGATGTAATAATGCAGTGATATGAAGCCTCTAAATTTACTGAAACCAAACAAATTTAATTTAAAAAAATTCCAATTCAAGGCTTCAATGATTAACAGCTTTGAAATTTCAAAGTGGAAGGTAATATGAAGGCCTTGGAGATTTAGAAAATAGGTATTAAAGTTTAAGTCACACAGACCAATGGGTAGCTCAGGTTTCCAATGGCATAAGTGGGTGTGTGGTTTCCACATTCCTACTACATAAGATTCCAATCCATATAGTCCCGGATATATGGAGATTTAACCTACCGACTCCAACACGTAGGATGAATAATTTTTATTACGTAAAATTGTCTGCCAAATTCAAATCTGCAAGTCTTAAGAGCCCCTGTTGGGTGAAAAGGCTTCAAATTTGACTTTGAAGTAAGGTACCTTCATATCCAAGCCAAACTCATCTGAAAAATACCCATTTCTATTCTAACCCCAAAAATTCAAAGAGAGTCTGTAGATATAATACAAATGATACTTTTTTTCTTAAAGGCACAATAGATAGCTTTAAAATAGTCAACTTGAAATAAAATCAGTTGGGTATTATGGTAGTGGGGGAGGGTTAAATCTCATTTTTTGTCTCTCTTTCAGATATTTTTAAATTTCATAAAATCACTCATAGTTTTGCCTGGGGTATTATATGAATACTCACTGTAAAGATCTATATTTTGCCATTAAAATGATATATTATTTTAAGCTCTATGTAATTAAGCTTTCATTTTATGGAAAAAGTGCCAAGCATACCTCCGAGGCAGCAGTGGCTGTTTGTTACAATAGCCTTGTTTTGTGGTCTTCCTCTCAACAGTCATTTGTTTACTGACTTCAAAAGACTACCATTTACAATTATTTTACAATGTTGACCAATGATTTATACTATAAAATGAAACAATCATTCAAGATCTTTATTAGATTCCAGTTTATTCAATGAAGCAGTATGATTAAAGCAAAGAATGAAATACTGCAAATCTCACTTATCAGTGCTTATGCCATAGCTTACATTAATAAAAAGAGCATGGACTCTCCTATTTGACTGTTAAAACTATTAAAATGAACATAACTGTTGAGCAATGTATATACACATGCAAGGTATGGTCAATGGAAGAAAGTATGAATGGTGCAAATTACCCTTAGACAATTATTAACTTTGTACCCCTCAGAGACTCCCACATACACAAATATTTCCTTAGAACTATATTTCTATTAACAGTTTTCTCACTTTCAGGTATGCCCAAAACATCTTCCTGGCTTTGAATTGTGTTAGATGGAAATAAGGCACATTAACTTACTGACAAAATGACTGGTTAGCTATATATTAACAATGGGAAATTCTACAGAACCACCTGTAACAACATCTCAAGACCCTAAAGCATTTAGCTCTCCATGTTCTCAAGGTCAAATAGCAGTCAAACAACTTGGCTGAATTGTGGAGAGTAATACAAAAGTTTTGAACAATATTTTACAATCATACACTGATAAAATTATTATCTCTCTCTCTCTAAGTGCCATATCTAGTTTGAACGTTGGCAATCATGGTTCTTCATAGGTTCCTGTCTTTTGTACATTTCAAAATCTCAGTCACACTGACATCCATCAGTTTCCTCTTTGTCTCTGCTTTTTTCAGTATTTTCCCATTGGTTATATTTTAATTTCTGTATCACTTCTTCTATCTCATGTTATAATACTACAAAGATATTTGAATTTTTCCACTTGTTTTTTATCATAAGGATTGTCCCTGCTCAACTGTAACTTTTATACTTCCAATAATCAGTCAAAGGATATGACTATGAAGACTCTGAGATTACTCATAATTTGCATTTAGGATTACTGATGACTTTACATTCAAAATTATGGTAGCACAACAAATTGTACAGCTCTGTTTAAAGTGAGTAAAAATATATTAGAGCATTGTACAAGTTTTATTTGCTTCTCTTTTTTATTTTCTATAATATGTACTGTACTAATCATCAATTGACCTTTTAGTTTCAATTACTCATTGTTTATGACTCCTGCATAGGTGTTTGCATAATGAATTCCATTATTGCATATCATGATTTTCCTCAAATATTTTGTTTCTAGAAATTACAGTGCATCTAATAATAAGTGTCACACTAATAACTACTATTATGCATTTAAAAAAAACATATATAATACAAACACAGAATATATAATAGTATACAAATAGTTAAGAAATAAACATAACTAGACTAATTTTAAATAAACTGAAATTAAATTTATGTTGTTTGTGTTACAGCAAAGTCAGATTGGGCTATATTCTGTGTCCACTGCAGGGAATCAAGAACAAGATTTTAGCTTCATAATTCCATAGACTTACTGCTGTCTCACTGAGAGATAAATTTAAGTAATTGATTCATGTGTACACACACGCACGCACACACACACATATATATATATATACACACACACACACACACATATATATATATATATATATATACACACTGACCAGTATATTTTATAGAAAGCTATTATAATTACTAAAATATTTGTAAAACAGTTTGCTAAAGACAGGTTATTTTAACAACAATGTAGAGTAACAGTAGATTAAAAGACTTAGAAAAAAGAATTTTACTTACTCAAGCACAATATAAGGTTCAAACTTGTCACTAAATGTATGTACTTTATATGGCTTGTCTGTTCTATACCACTTCCAATAATCAGTCAAGCGATGTGACTCTGAAGACTCTGAGATTCCTGATAATTTTCATTTAGGATTATGAATTGTTTCATACAATACCACAAACAATTCTAGACAAGTTTTATTTTAAGAAAATGTTTTATTTTACATGAGTAAACAACCAGCTGTTAGTGGGCTCCTTTTTGTATCAATTAGTAGCAATGGAAGACAACTTGGAAATCACAATCTTAAAACAAAATAAATTTATTATTCTAAAAAAAATGTTTAAATACACATCTAAACTGATTCTGAGAATAAATTCTGCAGAACAAAAGGCTGACCTCTTAACATATTGAGTGAGACTGCTGGTTGTGCATATGATATCACTACTACAGAAATTTTCTCTAATTCTTTGAAACAAATAACTGGACTGTCTGTTACTTTTATAACGCGCCCACAGCTGAATCTGCGGAGCATGTTTAGCAGCATCAGGTCTCGAACCTTTGACCTTTCGATTCACAGGCCATGTAGACCTATAAAATCCTGAATAAAGTGGCATCTTTAAAATTTGAAGCATTATGTCACTTTTGAATTATTAGTAAAATCATTAATTGTAATTCGAAGTATTCCAACATATAACAAAACACAACTACTCACAATTATGCAACCAAGATTGATTAAATCTTTTAATAAATTATTTTTTAATACTCTACAAACAAAATTGTCAAAATGAGTACATAATCCATTAAACATCTGTGATATACACAAATCTGTGTTGTTGATTAACCCCTTCATAGCAGCAGTAGTATTCCCAGTGCAGTATTTTGTTGGGGGGGATTGTGTTTTCTTCTACGTAGTTTCAAAGCCACTACCCTAGGCTTTTTATGATTTCCTGATAGAATCCTTTTGGTATCGTATTCTTTTATCTTTTAGAAACACTTAAAGAGCACTTGCAAGACTTTTTAGGCCTACTACTCTCAATTACTTAATTTATACATCTTTATATACATAATTACTGTAGAGTTTATATAATATAACCACTAGGATTAAGTACAAAAGTATGCAGAAATGATAATCTTAATTATTGTCTCCACTCAACTGTAATTTTTATACTTGGGTATTTATACTGTTCAAAGCAAATGTTGCAGATATTTATTAACATGTTTTTTGACTAAACAAAAGTAAATACATTAACAACAGTGTTGGACTCTTCAGTTTAAGTTATTATTTAGTTTTCATAACAACAGTGTTAAAAGTTAACATGTTTGACTAAACATAAGTAAATACATTACCAACAGTGTTGGACTCTTCAGTTTAAGAGTTATTATTTAGTTTTCATAACAACAGTGTTAAAAGTTAACATGTTTGACTAAACATAATTAAATACATTACCAACAGTGTTGGACTCTTCAGTTTAAGAGTTATTATTTAGTTTTCATAACAACAGTGTTAAAAGTTAACATATTTTTTGACTAAACATAAGTAAATACATTACCAACAGTGTTAGACTCTTCAGTTTAAGAGTTATTATTTAATTTATTTAGTGATTTAATATGATTATTTAGTTTTCATAACAAGAGTGTTCAAAGTTATTTTAAAAGCGATAGTTATTTCAAGTTTCATTATGTAACACTGTACAAGTCGGACACTGTCCATACAGTTTAATTTGTTGTACTGGGCTTTTGTAATATTGTTGACGTCATTTTACTCGAAGCTTCTAAGTCTTTCTCCTTATGTTTAATATTGTTGTTACTAGAGGGCTAGATATTTCTATATTTTTCTGTCACATGTTATAAACACATGCAGTTAAAATAAAAGTGAAGTAAAATTGCATGATTGTCAGTTTAGCAATAATGGGTGATTTCTAAAGTGAAAGTTTCACAGTTTGTATTTTAACAACAGAGATAGAAAAGAATAATTTATCTTGTCAATTGGGTTCTAAAGTAATTGAACCAACCTGTGTGGACTTTTGATGAAAAGGTGAATTATTGAAAGCTCTAGATACAACTGTGGTAAACAATAGTGTAACAAATTTTTTGTACATATGTTTGACTTGTTTTGAATATATATATTATTTTAAAACAAGTGGAATGTGTGCTGTCCATTTCTTAATGACATTTATCACCAACACCTACTATGAAGAATTGTAGCCCTATAAAACTTGACAAGTAGTATCAATACTGAATTACTTTAAAACCAGCAGCATATTTGTCCAACCATAATGTTTTAAAATCAAATTAGACATTACAGGAATGATTTTGGATATTGTACTGACCTCATCAGTATGTACATAAATACAGCCTTATACATTTTCAATTCCAAAACTTAGCTTAGGAAAATTCAGCTTTTGAGTTAAATTTAGCACTCAGTTTATATTTCACCTCTCAGTTTTGTTAGTTTTAAAATGGAAATATATCAACTTGCATAAAGTAAGAAAATCACATCATGATTAATTTTATAAGCTCATATGAACCCAGCTAAAGATCATCAAATGTAGCTCTATATCATTTACATTTTCCAACACTTAAAATGTCTTTCTGATAGATAATTACCTCCACTCACATAATAGCTTGCCTCAATTTGTGTTGCTCTCTATACACTCAGTTTTTACTCAACACTAGTTCTTGAGGCTCCCACCTAACTTCATGTGATTGTATAACTGCACTGTAGCATACAAATGATCAAGTGGCAACACGCCATCATTAGGAGTGTGATGTAGCCTCCTAGCAGATCTGACTCCCTTTATACTGTACAGCACAATCCTTACTTTGGTATCAGGCAAGAAAAAGTGCATTAGAAGTGAGGAGGATGAGTGGGAAGTGTGAGAAGAGTTATCTATCAAAAATACGCTTTCAGTGTTGGAAAATGTTATCTTCTGATACAACACCTTACCTCTTCTCACATAATAGCTAGAATCCTGCAATGAAACAGTGGAAGGACTGTTTCAAAACTTACACAGAAATGAAGATATGCGTCTCCAAGCATGGTAGAGAAGATGCAAGTCCATTTTTAGAAATAGAACCACCAGATGGTGTAGAGTAGCTAGGCATGTCAGACTATACTTGGTAGGTCAACTCCAGTCCAAAACTAAGCAACATTGGATATTTGTCTTCCAGTCAGTGGTAGGAGGAGGGTCCCAACAATCTTCATCTCAAAACCTTGAAGCAGAAGAAACTAGTAACTTCCATTCTGACAACCTAGGCAGAGTACGTGTGCAGACCTAATACACAAACAACACCAGGCCACTCGTGAAACTGACATTCTGATATCGGTAGGAAGGGGGGAAGCAAACAGTATAGGTCAACTCCAGTCCAAAACCAGGAGGTGTCTGAAATTTTTCATCCAGTCTGTGGAAGGGGGAGGGTCCCTACCAATCACATGTGTGAGGAATTATATTGGTTGGTCCTACACAGATTATACACCAGACCATTTGGGAACCAGAGATGGGGTGAATACTGGAGATCAGTAATCAAATACAAATACTTCATATTTTTATGAATACAAGAAAAATACTAAGTATTTGAATATGAATACATAGAAATGAATACTTTGTCAGGTAATAGGCAATGATGATAAAACAGCAGATGATAAGATATCAACACTTTTACTTTATGAAACAAACTTTTTAGAAACTGAATCAAACAAAATTTGAACAAATAATAACATTTCAATTCTTTTATTTTTCAAATGCAATAACAAGGTTTTAGAACAAAAAATTTATTTTTAAAGGAGACTTATAAAAATTATAACTGTCCATTGTTCTTTAAGCATGTCGGTCTTTCAAATGTCTTGTCAGGGAGGCAGTAGTGATCAGGTCTGAGGGTTTTGCCTCCAATGCTAAACAAATGTTCAATGGGAGCAGAGGATGCTGAAACACTCAGGTAGTGTTTGGCTAGTAGAAATAGGGCAGGAGGGTTTATTTTCATGGACCTTCAATTAATCTAGAGGGTTGCATTCTTCAGAAGTGCAAGGTCCATTGATGTAGGTGTTGATCTCTGTATCCTCTAAAAATGAGGTGGTTGGTTTCTTGGAGACAGTAAAGAAACTAAAGAGCTTGCATCTTTTGTGTGTGTGGGGGGGGGGGGAGGCTGATCTCTTTTGGTTCCATGGTTGTAGGATTATTTCTTGAGGAAACTTTCTTGACTTCTTACTGCAGGAGCATTCAATTTGATTCATAGATCATAGGTATAGTGAAACACCACTCACATTTAAATCTGGGATTTGATGTCACAGCCAAGCAGAAGACACTTTGTTGCTCATACTGAGTTAGGCATGGATGGACAGATTTCTTCAGTGCAAAGACAAGATTGAAATTATATCTGGACTACATGCTATCAATCTCTGTCATCAGCCTATAAACACATGGCACTACATAACTGGAAGTAAAATTGTTCTGACTCTGGGTGAAAACTGTTGCATCTTCAAAAGGTGTCAGTATTGTCACCAAATCTGCAAGCACAGTTTGATCATGAAAAAGTAAATTTCGATGAACCAGTATCTAGATTATCCAATATCTTAATTTCCAAGTTCCATTATGTTGGTGTTACTGACTGAACTTTAGCCTTTCCCTCAAGTAGATCAGTTGCTTCTGTGGATTTGTGAATGTAGGACACAATGACTGATGCTTTGGAAATCACTTTCAGCAATGGTCCAGCTTTTTTCATGCCATCCCTGACCACAAAGCTGTAGCATGTGGAAAAAGCATGGGTCATGTTCAGGAAGAAATTTGGATAAATTGTCTGCTTATTTAGATTCATCCAAAATTTTATTTTCTGAGACATTATCTGTAGTTAATGATTCACCTCCTCTCTCACACTAGGTAGTGTTTGTAGCTCAAATGCAGGCAAGCAGAAAGCCTTAATCATGTTGGATACATTATCAGGTGTCACATATGACATGTTGTTGATGTTAAAGAGATTTATTATTTCATCATATTGAGCTGCAACATTATCAGATGTCTGACACTCCTAGAAATTCTGACATGCCAGCATGACTGTTTGCATTTTCCAGTCAAGTATAAAATGACCAGTGATTCCAAGAAAGCTGCACATTTGTCTGCTACTCCAGATATCCACAG